GCTGCTCCCCAGCATGGAGACAGGAAGGGCAACAACCTCTGTTCCTTGTGTCTTGGGCTGCACCAGCCAGAAAGAACAATGAAATACTGAACAGCCCTCCACGTCACTGAAACGTTGCTGTGCAGGCATGGGGCCAACAGCACTGACCTTTCTCCAGGAACATGAGGTCTGAAGGAGATGAGAGATTTGGAAGGAGTGAGGTATCCAGCTGGAGGAGGAACCAGGGATTTCTGGGGCCTACAGAGACATGCTTCACTGTAGGAATGGAAGTTGTCTCCCTTTTTGCTGCTTCATGCTTGTTTGCATTTTGTTTCTCATCAAATGTGGACATGGATACAGATGCACAGACACACTGGAGTATGGAGTAGTGGCAATGCTGAACAGCAGGGTCCCCGTGAGCTCTTCCACTGACAGCCACCTGGCCATAAACCACCACCACAAACCCTCCACTTCCCCGGTAGCAGCTTTCTGCATCCACTTCTGGAGAGGCTGAACTGCAAATCCAAGCATGCTCCAGTGTCAGTACTTTCCCCCCTCTTTGATCTTTGCAAGGCTTTACAACCAGTGGCAACCTCAACCCTACCAACCTGCAGGCACAACCTCTTCCTCTCCAGGAGGGACAGAGCCTGAAGAATCAACACCTCTGAACAACACTGTCACAGGCTCTAAGCACAGTGAAGCTGTATTAGCTCAGGCTGCGATGGAGGAGAGGAAGAGATGCAGCTGGCAGCCTAAATGCAAATGTGATGGTAGAAGGAACTGGTAGCCTGGACACCTGGGCCACTTTGTCCCTGCAGGAGAAAGTGCTTTAGCACTTTTGTTGGCTATGCAGAAGGCCATTGGGTTTACAACTGCATCATGAGCTGGGTACCGAGCAATCCAGTGTAGCTGTTGAAACATCATTGGTACCAAAGGAGGTGTATTCAGGGAAATGTTTACCATATGAATTTATATACTCCCTGATTGCTTTATGGCATCTTGTCTCTGCCTAAGCCAAAGCAAAGAAACACAAAATCAGCATCTGAAAATCACCTGCAAATCAGTGTTCTCTGGTGGGTCCCCAATAAGCATCCCTTGCCATTGCTTCTGGGACAGTGGAGACACAAATATCACAAGGGAAAGCAATCAGAGCAACCAAAATCGTGCTTCTGTGCACAGCAGTGCCTTGCAGGGACTCAGCAAAGTGCTGGGAGTGATTTTACACTCCTTACTTGTAGAGGATAGAAAACATTGTTGCCAGAGGACCTATGGCAGACTGTGATAAATTCAAGCTTCTCAGAGAATACAGTTAAGATACCTTTCCTCTTTCTCTTGGAGAGCAGAAGAAGCAGGGAAATATTTTCTTTCTTTATTTTCACTAGGACTAACTGCTCTCATTGCCCCTTAATGTAAAAAATATAACCACTTCCCCTTTCCAGGTGCCAAAGAGCACCGGTGCTATAGCACACCAGCCATATCACTTCCCTGCATCTTCCTGACATTTCAGCAAGTCACAGGAATGATGAAGTCTTCTCCTCGTGCAAGTTATTTTCTTTACCTGTTATATGACAAACCTGTGCCCTGGCTGAAATGCCCATCCTCACTCCCTGCAGGTCCAGCCTGCTCCCTTTGCCTGAATTTTTGTGTAAGTCCTCCATGCCCTTGAGCCCAGCTGTGCAGCAGTGGGGAGATATGGCTCCTCCTCCACATCTGATTGCGTTGCTCTCCGTGATGGGTGGCGTGGTGGGCCAGGGCAGGGAAAGTGGCCACCTGCCAGGAGAAAGGTCAGTGCAGCCTGGGAAACCAGAGCTTGGCAGAAATTGCCCTCTGCTACCTCTGGGTCAGCACAGGTAGATGCCACCTCCGGTGCTGGACTAACAGCTTTATACCCAGCATACCGCATATTCTTTTTTTGTCTAGGCTTTTCTGCTTCTGCCAAGTGACAACCCCATTCTGCTTTCTCGACTGACCTCCAAAGCAGAGTATCTGAGACAATAAAAATGCAATGTCTGCCTGGAAACCACCCAGGCAAGCGGCCAGATCTGTAGTCCAGCTCTTCACCTCAAGGCTCACAGCCAAAATTCTGCCCTCAGACACAATTCCTCCTGAAGCCAGCCAAAGAAGCAGAGCAGCATCTGCTCATCAGATCTGGCCACCAGTTACAGTGCAGCCCGGGCACAGTCTGGGCTCTTTGCTGGTGTAGAGCAGCTGAGCTCCACAAAGTAGAACAACCTCCTCCATGAGGGTGGAAAGCTGGCAGTTCCTACAGGGCACGCCTTCAGCAGCAAGTTCAGGATAAGATAGTCAACTAGAAAGATTTTAATTGATTCAAATAAGAGCTTCTCAGTGGCAAGCAGAGGTGACTATCAAGCAGAGAGGACTCCTGGGCTGCCTGTACATCAAACTTTGCAGTAAACCAAAGCATGAGCAACCCATAGCTTGAAAAGGTCAAGCTAGAGGAGAGCTTGGATATCAGACCACTAACATTTCTACACATTAAAATTGGAGTTATGCTAAACAAGGTCAGAAATAAAGCACGAAAATGTTTTTCAGCTATGAGAATTACTGAATTCAAAGACAAAAAAACCTGAAGACATTTAGATATTTAAGTAGCTGAGAGCATCAACCTTCACTGCTTTTGTCCTTTATTTCTCTGCCTAGGTCAGAAAAGCCTCTGCATATGCATTTGGCCTTGTTCTGACAAGCTGTTAAGGATAAATGCTTACAGACAGCTTTTTCTGAAACAGGTATTTCTTGTGTAACCCTCTCAGTACAGGAGTGTGTTGTGACACCCAAGTGCTGCTTCTTTCCACAGCTGACCACCTTTGTCAAGTTCTCTCCTCTAGAGTCTTTAAAAGTCTTCCCTTCCCAAGGTGCCCAGGGAAGGTGTTGCTTTGCCAGATTGAGGCATGCTTGGAATGGGTAATGATGGTCTGCAAGACCTCTCCAGCAGTGCTTGCTGCGCTAACCTTCCCTCTCATCTTCCCACTAACACATACATTTACACATTTATGGGTATATTTATGAGAAAGAGTAGTTTATTATTCATGTCCAGCCTCACACACAGCTTCTCTGCTAAGCTAAAGATGCCAGGAATGGTCCTGTTTGAGACAACCTATGGCTCCCCAGGTGAAGGCTGGGGATGGCATCGTTTTCACAAGCAGCTCACAGGAGACATTCAGCTTCAAGGGAGCTGCTCCTGGACCATCCAGACCCGGAGCAACAGCTCCTGCAAGTAATCCTGCTGTTTCTTCAATGCAACCACAGAATGTTTTTGTAGTGGTGAGACTATTTATTTGAGAAAATTGCCTATGTCCAGTTCTTTTCTGATTACTGCAGTTCTTCACCAACAGCTTCATTTCCCCTTTTCCCTCTACATGTTGACTCAGACTAGAGAGGGGCTTACTTTGCTTCATTCTTCACACCACCTACAAGAACTTGGGATTGGTGCAGCCATTATCTGGACTTTCTGCAGAGGTTTTCTTGACAAGCCTTCTTCAAATACAGTTTTCAAAATTGTTGACACGGACCCAGTTTTGGAAAAGGCAATTTGTCTTCATTGCCAAGAAACAAAACATACCATGAAATAATCAGCACTGGTGAATTCTGCGGCCTCGTACTTCCACATCAGTCTGACTAGAACACCTGGGAAGAGATGTGTCTGTGCTAGTGGCATTTCCTCAATTAACACCAGCCGAGGCCTGGCCCTGGCACGCTCATCCAGGTGCAAAGGGAAAAGCCAGAAGAGAGATCTTAGTCATGGCAAGGCAAGTGTGATGCAACTGCTGCACAAAGAGATAGTTTAGCAATCCCTGGCAGCATCTGCTTGCCCTGGTACCCAGTCCAACTTAGTGTGCTGACAACTCACCATCAAAGGGCACCAGAGGGACCTTCATCCTGCAGCCTGGTGGCCAGATACAACCCTGGCAATGCAACCGATGGGACCATAGGGCCCTCTGAATTTGAGAGCAACAAAGAGAACATATTTCTTCTATTACTGGAAGCCCCTCCCCACCCCCATCATCTTCAAATGAGCACTCAGTTCTGCAATCCTTCCAAAAGCAGAAATGCAACTGTGCCCAGAGCCAGAGTGATTTTGGGGAAGCTCTGCGCCACACTAACCATTTAAGGTCAAACAGCTCATTAGCCAGCCCAGACTAGCACTCCGAGAGGTCTCAGCTCACATCTCAGCCTGATTAAATGCCATGATAGATGCCTCAGTAAGCACACGTGCATTTCTGGGGACCGTCTGGCTGGATCAGCACTCAAGGGCCGGGCTCCTACGCTCTGCCTACTATGCATGTGCACCTTAGCCCGGCGGCTCCTGCTCGGGGTGAATTCCCACTCCTACTCCTTCCAACACCCTCATAAGCCACACATCTTTCCCAGGCGATGCTCAGCCCCAGGAACTCGAGCACTAGAGGCTGGGGAGAGGCAGAGTGGTGCACACCGTGCGGGAACGGGGGTGCGCGGCAG